TTAATGCAGAAGTCATGAAAATGCCCAGAGTGGGGTCTGACGAAAACGTAATTACCCCAGCGCAGCAGGTGAATCTTGTGCCAGCCGTAAGATTTGATCATGCGAAGGTATGTACTATGCGGTTTTTCTTTTTTATAATATATTTATGATTATGATGCAGAGGATGGATTGGTAGGCATGGGAGACTTCGGGAAAATCGATGGGCATACAGACGATTTTGATACTCCAGGATCTTTTACCTGCATGGTGGCCAACTCTCGGCTGCCTAAAGAATATGAGAGTGGACAATTCCATCTTCTTGGCCTTGGATGCTACTTTGTATTAGAATCACTTACTGTCATGTGCTTCTCTGGGTTACGCAAACATGGTGGCACCCCTCCAATCGCGCCTCCAGGCGTTGAGCCTGCCCCAGATGCATACCACTTTATGAATGTATGCCACCCTCCTAAGGCCATGATATCTGTTGCTGGTTCCTATGTCCAACCTCTGGCATTGCTACCAAGTAGACGACAACAAGATGATTTGTTGCTACTAGGACCAGAAATCACATCACAGATGTAGGTCAGTAATATCATTGTATCTAGCTTTGTATATTTACATCTTTAATTAGGAACCCTCAACCTCTGCCATTATCAAGCCATGCCAATTGGGCCAATGATGGAATTGTTATTATGGAGAGAAATCACTTTTCCGTTTCTTTGTGTGATCACTCCTTCTTCAACTCTGTGCTTTTCTGCTTGGCCAGCTGCCTCGAGTTATGGGAGCAAGGATAGATTCGACGATATTCCTAAGCGCCTTCTCATTCATTGACACTGATGGGAAGTGCTACTCGTTAGGACCCTGGGTCAGAGCGGAGGATGGTGTGGTCGTCGATACGCCATGTCAAGACAAGTCAAGTTGGGGTGGAGATGTACCCTCATCACCTCTAGACACAGAAGGGTCTCAAGCCGCCAATATATGGAGCGATGGGCCTGAACAACAACCAGAGGCTGAACTTCAAAATGATGTGGATCACGTCATTGCTGCACGTCATGGGCGTTGGAACCAATGGTTTGATCACCTTGAGACACAGAGTAAATTTATACCAACACAGTGGGCACTATTTGAGATGAACAAAGATGGAAAGACACAGTTTGACCTGATTCGGAGTCAATTCTATGCAGGCCCTGGAAAGCCTTTACGAATCAAAAGCAAGACTGCAACAAAAAGTGAGCATCATGACTGTCATCATTTGCCTTATCTTATTAACCACATGTATTTATTTCAAGCTAATAAGCGGCAGCGCACTGAAGCGAATGACATGGAAATGGAAAGACCCAAGAAACGTAAGTCACTACCCTATTAATGTCGTAACAAATACTGACAGTATGCTCAGGTCTGAAGGGTTCACATGTTGCATTTCCCCAAAAGCGTGAGTAATATTCTTCTAAGTAGTAAAGAATATGCTGATGTGTTGTAAAGGTGGCGATCTTTTTACGAGTCCTCTGAGTTTACGAAGAGACTCGTTTATTACCCAGGATCTCAGGACTTTTTTCAGTGCGGTAACACTGAAATTTGACTTTCTCCCACGAAAGTGATTTCTTCCCACGATCAGCTGCCTGCTCAACATTGAAGACTTTGCCAGTCTGCTCTACTATTTCTTAGTTATCACCTGCTTTTAGTCCTATCCATGTTGTCATTGATGTAGGTGGTAGCTAATGTATTGCTCTACTTGGCTGTCAGACTCTAATATATGAATATATTGCCTCCATTTTCACATTTATGTAACTATACTTCTTTATATTAAAGATATAACAATTAAGGTCATGACAACTTTTGTGGCATATTTTTACAGAGTGTGTGGGTATCCTAATGAGCCCAAGGCTATGCAAAATGAGCCATGAGAAGGTCCTGGGCAGTTGGTGGGTATGAGCGCAAAAAGACAAAAATAGAACGTAACATACATCCAAGAGTGCTCAACTAGTTCATAGGCAGTTTTGGGGAGTCTCTTCAGGGGGTGTGGGGCTATCCAAACGAGCCCTCGACCACAGAAAACGAAGCAGATTGAGATCCTGGGGAGTTGTAAGCATAAGGGCAAAAGAACGAAAATGCAAACTGACCTAGCTCCACGAGACCTTGACCGTTTCGTAAATGGTTTTGGGGAGCGTCTTCACGGAGCGTGGGGCTATCCGAACGAGCCCTCGACCACAGAAAACGAAGCAGATTGAGGTCCTGGGGAGTTGTGAGCATAAGGGCAAAAGAGCGAAAATGGAAACTGACCTAGCTCCACGAGACCTCAACCGTTTCGTAAACGGTTTTGGGGAGCGTCTTCACGGCGCGTGGGGCCATCCGAACGAGCCCTCGACCACAGAAAACGAAGCAGATTGAGATCCTGGGCAGTTGTGAGCATAAGGGCAAAAGAACGAAAATGCAAACTGACCTAGCTCCACGAGACCTTGACCGTTTCGTAAATGCTTTTGGGGAGCGTCTTCACGGAGCGTGGGAATATCCGAACGAGCCCTCGACCACAGAAAACGAAGCAGATTGAGGTCCTGGGGAGTTGTGAGCATAAGGGCAAAAGAGCGAAAATGGAAACTGACCTAGCTCCACGAGACCTCAACCGTTTCGTAAACGGTTTTGGGGAGCGTCTTCACGGAGCGTGGGGGTATCCGAACGAGCCCTCGACCACAGAAAACGAAGCAGATTGAGATCCTGGGGAGTTGTGAGCATAAGGGCAAAAGAGCGAAAATGGAAACTGACCTAGCTCCACGAGACCTTGACCGTTTCGTAAATGGTTTTGGGGAGCGTCTTCACGGAGCGTGGGGCTATCCGAACGAGCCATCGACCACAGAAAACAAAGCAGATTGAGGTCCTGGGGAGTTGTGAGCATAAGGGCAAAAGAGCGAAAATGGAAACTGACCTAG